CCCCCCCCGGCCATGCGTCGCCTGCGGGATCGGATTTGTGGTCGAACGCTCCGGAGTTGAGAGCGGTGTTGGAACAAGCCCGAACAGCCTCAGGAGCGTTGGTACGGGAGAGTCGGGTGTCAGAAAGGAGAGGTGCCGCGGCGGGAGCTGCACCACTCGGCACCTGGACCGGGATGAGCCTGTGCCTCGCTGCTGCTCGGTGAGAGCCGCGAAACGCTCGGGCTGTTGGAGTCATGGACTGGGAAAATGCTGTGAAAATGTGCTCTTCAGAACTGCTTTATGGCAAAACATGTTGCCGATATGTAGAGAATGTAGCTACTTCGTTGCTTAAAAGAAACATTGGAGCCAAAAAGTTACAAGTTGTTGGAGAGTGATTAAGGTGTTTTTTAAAAAAGGTAGATGGATTAAAGGCGTAACACTAACCAAGCATTAACTTGGTAGCAAGTAATTTATTATTGTACTAGCGGAAGGTGCAGAAGCCTCCCCTCCTTCCCTGCTTCGGGAAGGTCTGGGTGCGTAGATGTACCCATACTCTCAGTCGGGGCTTTAGCACCCGTAGCGGCTTCTCAGACACAGTGGCTCGTTAGGATCACCTAATGGGTATAGTATCAAATTTGTGCACAAAATAAAAGTTTGTGATCGTTATTTGTAAGATCTTGCTGATTTAAAGTGTATGTATGGTAAATATATCCCTTCATTTCATTATTCGTCCATTTAATTTATCATAAATATGTCCCTTCGTATTCATTTATTTATACACAGAACTTTTGCTGATCTTGGGTATCTGCAGTTTGCCTTCTAGTAACTTTTTTTTTTCTGTATTGAAGTTTCCAATCATTGGGTCAAACTTTGTTTATGCATCAATAGTTGTTTCATTTTTACTCTTTTAATCACTTTCATCCAGACAAACACTTGTGAGGAAGACAATTTGAGAATAAGGGATGAAGGTGGCCCTTGGACTTAAGTTTCACAAATGCTTTCCTTGGATATTTGCTCAAATAAGAGGCCTCCTTCTGTTCTTTTTTCTCTATGAAATGCTAAATATGCAGTTCCAATAATTTCCCTGCTGCACCACACTAAGCACTGGGAATAGGTTTGTATTGTTATTAAATTAGTGTGTGTGTACATACATACATATAAATTGCTTTTAATTTTGATGTTAAATCATCCACTCCTTCAGGTGTTTTTTTTTATTTATCACGTGAATGTTGGTGAGGTAAAAATAAATCCTTTTCAATTTTTGTTGGACAAAAGTCTGAATTAGTAAAAAATTTTCTTAAGAAAGTGTAGGGATTTAGTGTCTTGCTCGGCCATGCAAATGCAGGGATGGTGCTCTGCAACGCTTTGGCAGTGCTTGCCTGACAGACTCGGGGTTTGCTCTTGATTTCACCGTGGCTGTTCAGTACTGTGAGCAGAGTGTTGCCTCTCTCTGCAGAGGAATCATGACACTGGCTTTCACTGTAGCGTTCTGGTACCTGCTGGTGAAAGTGTGTGAGAACTTAAGTTTTCCAGTAACTCCGTTTCAGCCTGTACTGGCTGGCTTTAGTTTCTGAGCAAACTGGGGTTTCCTGCATCTTTATGAGGTAATGTAACAAAGTTTAAAATTGTTGTGTAGTCTCCACTACTGTAACAGATTCTGTATTTGAGTCTAATGGAAGTGAAGCAGACTGACTTTCAAAGCTGTTTTCCAATGAAGAATAAGACACATGCACCTTTTATTGTATGCTTGCTTTACTTCACTGTTCAAGTTCTGGCCAAACTGTCTATATTTCTTTTGATTCCCCTGGGCACTTTTTTAAGCTGAGTTCAGACTTTCCCAAAGCCTAACACACCTTGTGAATTAAATCTATATGGGGTTGTTTGTGAGTGGTTAGCATTTGGAGGAGTGACCATCTGAAATCCTGTTTTGTGAAGAAAGGAACTAATTGCTTCCATAGCTGTTTATTTTGAGAAACATGGTAGTTTCCATAAGTGTTGTGTTACTCTGTTATTAGACTACTAGAAAGGTAACTTAGTTCTCATTTAGGGGCTTTTTTGGATGGTTTTTGATTCAGGAATCAGCTATACCAGAGACTGTTCAGAACAGTACTGAGCTTAACAAAAGTATGGACAGAGGGAGTTTGCACGTAAACACAGGCTTGTGCTAGCTGGTTTTAATCATGCTGGCAGTTTTATGTACCTGTTAGAGGTGAATCTAACAGAATGAGGTGTTGAACTGAGTTGGAAAGGGTTTTGAGATGACTGTAAGTGTAAAAGATGCCATAAATAAAGTGCATTTTATCCCACTGGAGAAGCTGCAAGCAAAATGAAACATGATGCTGCAACAGAAATATTACCAGAATTTTCTGTTGTGCTGTAGCATCTCTTAGGATCTGCATATCAACTCTTTGCTAATCTTCCATCTGAGTCCATGACAGTCACTTGCTCTGAGATATCAGAACTTTGTGTTTATATGCAGCAATCTCTCTACTTGTACTCTCCAGTGTGTCTTAAGTTTTAAATATATTCGAGTGAGCTTAGAAACAAAGAGTACAAATCAACTTAAGCAAAGATTATTGTTTGGTGTATTCTTCTATGGATAATAATAATATGGATAAGAATTCAGCTTTGTAGTTCTCTGGAAACCAGGAGTTCACAAAAGAAGAGTGTAAGTAAGAGTGATTTAGGAAATGATCTTTTTGACACAACAAGTACTTGAACAGTAAGTCTGTGCTTGTTTAATGTTCCATTCAAGGGAAGCTTCAAAAGAAAGCTTCGAAAAACTATCACTTTATGTGATCAAGCAGTTACTTGCAATTTTACCACCAACCTTGAAGCCTATTGCTTTGTGTCATTAATTTCTTCGGTTTTAGTTAACAGTCATGTCTTTGCAAATTACTGCTATGAGGTAACATCTAGGTGATCAGATTCAGGAGTAACATTTTCAACAGTTTTCTGCTTACTGTAGTGCTCTGATTTATGTAATAAATGTTATGGTAAAGAGCTTTTAAACATTAGTTCTATGTACTGCAGCCAAAGTTTAGAAAAATCTAGTTGGTACATAAAGACTTACTTTATATATCATTTCCATTAAGCTCCAAGTGTTCCTTTAAGTATCAAGTAGAAACATTCTCCCAGTCATCCGTTCTGTGGTTTAAAGGAGTTGTTTTAAATTTATATATGTCTATGTAAGTCTATGATTTTAGTGAGTAAATTCCATGGAGAAGTGTGTCATTAGGTATATTTTCTGTCACCGGGAGGATGCCTGCATGGCAAAACAGACTGCATGTATGAGCTGAAAATACACAAGATTCTATTTTTATTATTCAATGTGTGTGTTTCTGGGAAAACCTTTAGTGCAATTGATTTTTAAGTCTATAAAAACCAGTGGTATCTGATTGTCTCACCTGAGGTAAATATAAATAATTTAGTCTCCTTCATGATTCTTCATGATTCAGAGTTCCTGAGAAGATGGCTGCTTGAATTCAGGAAGAATTGATGCAAAACCCAGTGCTACATATCTACATAGTACTGCTTATATTATTATAAGTGGTTGTAGTTCTCCAGTTGGTGAGAGAGTTGCCTTTTTGTTCTTCTTTTTGTTTTTTTTTTGTTAAATGACTGCGATATTAAAATGTGTTTTCTAGCCATAGGGAAGCTTGCTGTACATGGGGGACCCTGTGTCCCCTGCATAAGGGCATCCAAGGGCACTGTATGTTGACTTTCAAAAGAGAATATAATACTTTACTGTTATGAGAGGTATAAACTGGTAAAAGAGGATGTGATCTGTTTCTGCCCTCTTTTCAAAGATTATTTAAAGAGAAATAAAATATTTTGAAATGCCCCTAGACTGTGTCATTATCTGGTGGCAGTTTTTCCTTTGATACCACCAGCATTAGTTGTTGTGGCTGCTGCAGTCTGAAGACTAAGGCAAGGGCAGACTGAAAGGAGTGAGAGTGATAAAGATTTTTGCCCTAAAACTTCCTTGATCACAGCTGATAGGGTTACCTCCTAGGTTAAAATTCTCTTGAATGATGATACATTTTTGCAATGATGTCTTCTCACAGATGGTGTAAATTGGGTGACTACTGATTCCTAAAAAATGCAAGGGAGGAGTGCACTGATTTATACTAATACTTGATTCTTTTCTTGCTTTTTCTCTGTAGTCAGAGCAGTGATGTATGGAGTATCCATTCTTGGTGTCATGGAGCACTTTTTTTTGTTTTGCTCTTAATTTTCATTATGGTCCTCCTAACTTCTCTATGTATTTCTGTTTTCAGACATATGCTACAACAGTAACGATTTGTAACGTGTGTTTTTTCCCCAAGGAACTGCTGTTGCTGAGCTAACTAAAGAAAATGCAAGGGATCTTTTCTCACACCTTTGTGTGAGTTAAAATAAACGTAATTTGTATCATTCACCTGTCTGTGAGAACAGTGAATCACACACCAGTGAGGGAATGAAATGAAACAGGTGCAGACTTAGAAGCAGAAACTAATACGCCGTTGGCAGAGACACAGCTTCGTGTTGTAGTTATATGATGCTTCCCTGCTCTACTGTATGATGTCAGGAAAATTAAATACCCAATGTGTTTTGTCACCATCTATTCTTGGGGTTTTAAGTGAAATAAGAGCTTTCATAGAGCATAATTTCTAAAGTAAGTTTCTTCTGAAATCTGATGAGAAATGTTAAACGCATGTCACTCTCACGTTCACAGGTTACTCCCATGAACGCTTTTGTTTGAAGACGTAGGGCTGCGATCCGCTGCTGGTAAATTGGTGCTATGGTCTGCACTTGCTGCATAAGACCCCGATGAATAAATGTAACGCAGACGCGAAGAGAATTGATACGGCTCTTTTGAGTGTGACTGGATCATCTACAGAAATAGATAGGAGGCTCCACACAGAGCCCTGCTAAGACTTAGTGAACTTGGTGTCTGGTTCTGGCCTGGGCTTTAAAACTAGACAGCCCTCAGCCAATTTCTTGGATACGTAATATTTCTGAAAACCTTAAACACTTTGATCTGCTTAGGCAGGAAGGTTCAGAGAGAACCAGTTCACAGATGGGTGCCCAGAGCTGGACTTGAATGTTGCAGGACCTCAACCTAACATTACACTGTCCCACAGTCAGGGGTGGAAGCTAAAGCAAGACAAAACAATGACAGTACCTACAATTTCTGTGGTTTGTCTTAGTCCTCACTGCCCCCCAGATGCTTAAGTTAGCGTAATACAAATAAAATTGTCCTGATTCTGGACTACTGTACTGAGGTCTTGGACCTGAAGGGTACAGGTTACCTCCGTATGTGCTGAAATACCATGGGAGGTGCTGGACATGACCTCTGACTACACATTAATTTTTTTTTTTTTCACCTCTGCTAGTTTTATAAAGAATCGTTGGGTGAATTAAAGTAGTTACATTGTCGTTGCTTTGGGAAGCAAAGCTTCCTTATGCCTCTCTGGTTAACTGCAGGGATAATTGTTTTCTAGAACATACAGTGGATGCATCCAAAGTTACTTTTATGTTTTAGAGTACCTTTCTGCTTCAGTTTAATGCTACTCACCTCACACCAAGAAAAAAGGGTTTAGGGAGATATTTTGACTTGGAAGAAGCTGTCAGAAAACTGTGGGGGTTCTCATTGGCCTTTTCAAACTGTAGTGATCTTCCAGGACTGTTTCAGAAATACTCCAACCATAAATCATATTGTCTTAAAAGAGCTACTGGCCTGACAGCATCAATAAGTAATTGAGTACTGTTATGGTACAATACACCGCTGAACAAGATTTTGGTTAATTCCACTGGAATTTGATTATGGAACTGCTAATTTGATTCTGTATACAAATAAAATAATACCTCTTGTGTATGGGAATATAACCCAAAGATGACTTTTATCTTCTAGTGACACTGGGGATTTATGTGAATAAATAAGATCATTCTTCTAACCATTATTCATCAATAAAACATTGCCAGTGGTGCCTGCTTCTCTGACGTGTGCCATGCCCAGCTGCTTCCCCGTGCCTTGTCTTCCCCAGCCCGTGCATGGCACTCGGTGTGTCTGCTGCCGACCCCAGCAAAATTGCTGCTGTCTCGGTGCCATCCCTGCTCCAGCCCTCCTGCTCCCAGGTGGGGTGTTCATGGGTAACCATCAGTTCCAGGACCTCTTCAACTAGAGATTTCAGAGTTTGGCTGGAAGCCAGAGAAGGGTTCCCTTCTGTCCGGTGCTGCCACTGTTCAAATGCTTGTTATTTAACTCCAGCTTTCTGTAGGTGTTCTCAAGATCACAGGAGGCACACGTCTTCAGTGGAAGAAACTAAGGTGGAAAAGTAGTCACAAGTGTGTGCTGTAGCTGTTCACTTTTTTTAAGAGTAGATGGGTGCAGAAACTCACTGTCCACTGTTTTCTGGGCTGTTTAGTGTACTTGATCTGTTTGCTTTCAGAGCAATACTGTGTGTTCCTTGATCCCTACTTCTGGTTGTTACTGGTTTTCTGCTCTGCTGACAGCCAGACTTCTAGACCTTTAACTCTGTCATCCTCTCCACTCTCTACCAGGATTTGTGATGTTTACTCCTAACAGTTTAAGGAAAATAAGCTTCTTTGTTTTCCAAAAGAAAGATGAAACACCTCTGAGAATGAGGATGCAGAATTGCTTATAGATCCATAAGCCTGTGGAGATAATTAGATGTTCTGACACAGTTGTGATGTGCAAAGATCGCTGAGGATCCCTTTCCCCTTGGTGTCCCTCTTGTCCTGGTTCTTGTGCCTTCTCTGCTACGTGCTCACAGTCCATTTTCATTGTGTGGCCATGTCCTAGGAAGCACAAATTCATCTAGAGATGCTGTGACCAAAAGAATTATTTTTTTCTCTCCATGGTAAGGCATAAAATGTCCATCTTCCTTCTACTCCGTTGCCTATCCTTATTTCATTCTTTCTGTCTGGACTAGTGCTCGTGGTGACAGTTTGTATTTTAATATTTTGTCAAGAACTAAGTTGCTGGAGTAAGAGCCCTTAGGGAAGTACGGGGTGAGGAGGAAGGCCACTTTCTATATATGACAGACTTTCCATACATTCTAGACACAAAGGAGCAATTTCTGGTGGGAAGTTTCTGGGTTCCTTAGCTCCAGGACCTGAAGTGATGCAGGAATGGTGAGCAGTCACTTCTGGGCCTGCTCTGGTGGTTTGTGCACGGTCCTCAGACAAGGTGACGTGCCTGTTCACTTCAGGTCAACAAAACTTCTTCCTCCACTTAGGAAATAGAAGCTTAATCAGGAATGTCCTGATGTTGCCTCTGTGCATAGCTGGGCAGGCAGTGACCCGTGCTGGGTTGTCTGTGAGAGGGGTGTCCCCACTGCTGACGCTTGTGTCTTGCTCATGGAGCGGGTGCATCTGCTGGGACACGAGCAGGGATGCTCAGAGCAACAAGGTCAGTCTTGCTGTTGAGCTACACCACTGTTAGATTGGGGGGGGGTTGTTGTGATGTTTGATTTCTGACCGAGGTCTGATTTGCACCAGCTCACAAGCTCCGAGTTGTTCTGTAGCTTTGTTAGCTGGATGCTCGAAGTGTCCTGCCAAAGCTGTCCTTGTAGAGATGCTGCGATCGCACCGCTTCTGTTAACCACCTTTAGTCCTTATTTCCCTCATCAGATGCAAGACTGTATAAATCATCTTTTCCCCTGCTTTGACACAACTGTAAAAGCTCAAATGCAGTCTGGTTTACCCATTTTAATCTATGACACGTTGGTAACTTGCAGAACGTGTTTATCAACTCTGATAACCTGATCTTGAATGATCTGTGCGAGTTTTTGACAGTTTTCTAAATCAGACTTAACGTTAGTCAAGTCAGGGAGCTGGACATCTTGTTTCTCTGCTGAAAAGAAGTTCCTTTTGTGGAGGTTCCGAATGTGAGTTTTAAGTGACAGCTGATACAGTTCCAGTTCTTCCTTGTAGGCTTTTTATCATATTCCTACCTGTTGGTTTTGGCTTTGGAGTGCCTGAATTTTCATCATTTGATTTAAATTGTTCATATGTCCCATTACAGCATGTAACATAAGACATTAATAGGAAAAAACAATCCACTAGTATGTTGTGATACATTGGACATGCTTCCTGCATCAGAAGTCAATGGATGATGTTGAGATCTGTTTGTCCAATTGGAAAAGCAGGTACGGTGGCAATGTTACGTGTTTAGACTTCTGCGTTAATAAGAACAAGAACAGCTATAAAAAGTCTGAAGATTCTTGGGCAGTCAATTAGGGGCCCAGTCTTGGAAATGTAGGGTGATGTCTGCTACAGAGAGACTCTCTCAAGGGGACAAGCGTGTGTGTGCTTTTTATGATAATGGTCTATGAAAAACAGGTAAAGTGCTCTTCTTTAGATCTTGTTTTGAAATGTATGCATTTCTCTAAAGCCTCTTGGAACATCCTTTCCCAGTGTGTCAGGCGAGTGAGTACCCGTGGCTTTTGAGACAGGTTAGAATTTAGATGTCAAATCATTCTAGCTAGGAAATCACTACTGTGTCAGATGAGCTTCAAAGTTCATGTCACAGTTTATTTAAAAAAGAAAAAATCACGAAAGGAAATTTAAAAAAAAAAAAAAAGAAAGTTCTTGGGTGGCTCAAACACCCTTCAAATGCTGCCTCGCATATTGACACAAATTAATTATTATCTGAGAACCTCTGACACACTGGGTATATAGTTTGGAATTGAGTCCAGACTTAAATGTTTCCTTTCACTAGGATTTCCTTGTTCTGTGAATGTTGAAAGACTGTTTTTTACTTTTTAAAAATAATTATTGTGATTATTTTCTAAGGAGGTAAACGATGAAATGGAAATGTCACTGGTGTAGTATATTCATCTCCTCTGAAATAAATTCAATGTATCTAGACCTAAGGAACTTTTTAAAAAAATTTTTTGTGTGTGTCTGTATGCACACACACACGCACATGCACCTGTGGCTTTTCTTCAGCAGGTTTTTCAAACTTCATGAGGTACCTTCCAAAAATCATTCTTGGGTGATTTAACAATGCAGTTCCATGCAAGTGTTGATGTAGCATCTGCCTTGAAGACCTCCTAAAGGTTCTGAGGTTTTTAACTTGCCTACCGACTATAAAATTAATATCCTTTTGGGAGGGTGGGGGTATTGTTCTGCAGTTCTTACCAGGGAGTGAAATTGCAAAGTTCTTTTCAGGACATAGACTGTTCCAGGGAGCCTGTGACATATTATGAGCAATTGAATGTTTCAGAAGGGTAGTTCAAATTATAGAAATGCAAGAAATGGGTAGATTAAGACTCTACTTTTTGTATTATATCAGGTATTTATGCCAACTGTTCTGTTGTAATGCACCTGAAACAGATCAACATGGTGACTGAACTTCAGCGTGTGCAAGCCTTGCTTTTTAAATGGAAAATTCTGTATTCCTTCTCAGTTGTAAATCCTCTCCTTTTTCTTTCAGATTACTCTTTACACCAGTAGAAATGGACAGCAGCAGTTTCATTCAGTTCGATGTGCCCGAGTACAGCAACACTGTTCTGAGCCAGTTAAACGAACTCCGCTTGCAAGGAAAGCTATGTGACATAATTGTGCATATTCAGGGTCAGCCATTTCGAGCCCATAAAGCTGTCTTAGCTGCCAGCTCTCCGTATTTCCGTGACCATTCAGCGTTAAGCACCATGAGTGGCTTATCAATATCAGTTATTAAAAATCCCAATGTTTTTGAACAGTTGCTTTCTTTTTGTTACACTGGAAGGATGTCCCTACAGCTGAAGGATGTTGTTAGCTTTCTGACTGCAGCTAGCTTTCTACAGATGCAGTGTGTCATTGACAAATGCACACAGATACTGGAGAGTATTCACTCTAAGATCAGTGTCGGTGATGTTGACTCTGTCACTGTTGGTGCTGAAGAAAATGCAGAAAATCGCAACGGAGTTAAGGACAGCAGCTACTTTGCCAATCCCATTGAGATATCTCCCCCCTATTGCTCTCAGGTGCGACAGTCCACAGCAGGCAGCGATCTTAGGATGGAAACGACTCCAGGCAAAACTCTGCGTAGTCGTCTGCAAGAGGAAGGGCATTCGGATCGAGGAAGCAGCGGGAGCATCTCCGAGTACGAGATTCAGATTGAAGGTGATCATGAGCAAGGCGACCTGATAGTAAGGGAAAGTCAGATTGCAGAGGTGAAGGTTAAAATGGAGAAGTCCGACAGGCCGAGCTGCTCCGACAGCTCGTCCCTCGGCGACGACGGCTACCACACGGAGATGGTCGACGGGGAGCAGGTGGTGGCCGTCAACGTTGGGTCCTATGGGTCTGTCTTACAGCACGTTTATTCGTTTACCCACGCCGCATCGCAGGCTACAGGCGTGTCTGAAACCTTCGGGAGCCTGAGCAATACGAGTCCTTCACGGTCGATGCTGAGCTGCTTCAGAGGGGGGCGCGCGCGCCAGAAGCGGGTGTCTGCTGGGCACCTGCACAGCGATGTCCAGGGCTTGGTACAGGGGGCCGACAGCGAGTCCATGGTCAGTAACCCAGGATACGAAAACAGCCCACGGGAGAGAAACACGAGAGGTCACTGGTATCCGTACAACGAGAGGCTGATTTGCATTTACTGTGGAAAGTCTTTCAACCAGAAAGGGAGCCTTGATCGGCACATGCGGTTGCACATGGGAATAACTCCTTTTGTCTGCAAATTTTGTGGGAAGAAATACACCCGCAAGGACCAGCTTGAGTATCATATTCGCGGTCACACAGATGACAAGCCCTTTCGCTGTGAGATCTGTGGAAAATGTTTTCCTTTCCAGGGTACACTAAACCAGCATTTGCGAAAAAACCACCCTGGGATAACAGAAGTAAGAAACAGGGTAGAGTCTCCAGACAGAACAGAAGCGTTTGTGGAACAGAAAGTAGATAATGATGCTTCAGCTTCTGAAGCAATGGATTCTAGTATGGAAATTCATGCAATGTCTAACACATCCGATTAAAATGCTACATTCAAAGTGCAACGCAAACAAGCACATTACTAATGTATTTTTAAAATCTTTTATTCTTTTAGTAATCTTCAGTACAACAGCCTTTTAATTTTCCTGACCTAGCGGAAATCAGTTTGAAATGGTTTCCAGAGAAGACTACACAAGTATTCTTTGTTTTTGAAGGAGGCTGGGTTGTTTGGTTGTTTTTGTTTTGTTTTTTTTTACTTTTGAAGAAGCGCAAAATATAAGACAGTGTGCTGGGGAAGGGAAGAGTCTGCTAAAGTGTCCCTACTGGTTGATCTGGCGACACCCAAATTCCAGTGGTGAAAGATATTAGAGTGAGATTGGCAGCTCTGCTGGAAACACCAAGAAGCTGTAATCTCCCTCATTTTGTTTCTTAAATCCTGTTGCTGGTAATGAGTTACGCAGCAGTGGGTAGAGAGAATATTATAGCTTGGATTCCTTCCGTGTGTCATGATGAAATCTGTTTGCTTTTACTAACTTTTTGGTAGGTAGTCTGTTTATATATATAAATTTGCTTTATATATATAAAATGCTTTCCTACTCCGGTTGAGGTGAATGTCAAGGTTTATGCCATGTACCACTCTTTCGACTGCTAGGTCTCTTCTCTGCTTAGGATTTAGGACTTCGGACTTTGGGAGGATGGTTTTGGTTTTAAAAGAATGTTGTTTGGTTTTCATTTTATTAGACTATTACTTTGTGTGCAAAAGTGAGCAAAGTGAATTACCTTGTTTTAATAGCTTTGCTTTATAACATATGTAAACCAAATGCCATAAATCTATTAAATTATGGTTAAATTGTTGAGGGGTTTTGTTAGTTGTCTGGAATGCAAGCTGGACAACCTGTGGTGCTGACCTTTTTATATATATAGAGATAGATATATCTATATATATATATATAAAAAAAATATTAGCAAATCTAAAAGTAGCATTGTGGTTTTAAATGTGTTTTTACTGGCCTCAGAATCTACCTTCATTTCGTACTGTAGAACCATACCAGGTAATTAAATTTAACTTCATCGCTCTTCATGGTTGGTTAAAACCTGAGAGAGATGTTGTAGTTTAAACTACAGTATTTCCAAGCAGTGTTTTAATAGGTCTCTACACAGAGAGCTGTTTTCAGGTGCACATTGACTTCCTACTTAAACCTCCAAGTGATACGTCAGCACTTGGAATTTGTACTTTTTTTTTGTAAAAAAAAAAAAAAGAAATACTCTATGGGAATTTCAAGCAATATATCTGTTATTTCATGTGTGAGTATTACAGAGTTGCTATGGCTTCCCTACTATTTTCAGTGGTTGTTTTCTGCATAAAGGAACTACCAACATCTTTACAAATACTCTAAATCTTTTTGTTTCACCAAATGCTTTTTTAAATATGGTGCTAACTTCATCATTTAGGTCAGTATAATATATAAAATGTGAAACATAATGGTAACAGTTAAGAAAAAAAAAAAAAAGACAAAAAAAAAAAAGCAACAACAAACAAAAAAAACCCACCCCAAACAAACCAACCACACAAAAAACCCCAATAGCTTAAAAGACCTCAAAAGCATGAACTGGCAGACACTACTGTGTAAAATTCTACCTGATGAACAGAATGAAACTAATCACATGCTTCTTTAAAATACAGGTTTTTATATAATTGGGCCTTATGTTTATTTAGCAAATATTGAAAATACATCTGTAGACATGCTGTTTAACTCCTGAAATTCAGAAAATAAAACTTTGTTCCTAAGTTACAGGAAAGCAAAAAGGTAGGTTTGCTATCTTGTAAAGCTTTTTTGGCTCCTGAGAAGTTGGGGCACATTTGTGCAGTAGCTTTATTAAATACACTAGTTCTTAATATTGTGACAGTCTGCAATAAGAATTAATTCCACTAAATATGGATTTACAGTATGAACCCTGCCTGCTCCCTGGGAGCAGTTTCAGTTAAATTGAGCCCGTAATTTGCCTCTTTGTCCTAAAACTGCCCAAATAAAGAGGCAGAGGGTGGGGAGATGTTTCTCTCCTCAAAGCGACAGTAGAACTGTTGTTTCCAGTAAGGGGAAGTATATGTCTGTGTCTAGGGAGGTAGCCTGTATGTTTACCCACCTAAAAACATGTTGGTGTTTCTGATACTGTTCTTTTCCTAAATGTTTGTTTTAAGTAATTAAATGAAAAAAAAAAAAGTGTTTTGATAAATTAAGTTTGAGACATGCAAAATCCAAGAAATGTAGTTATTCTTAACCCTTTATCTTGGACCTGTGCTGTGGTGCCTTTGGTGTGACTTTTTCCATGGAAGTATGAGTTGAGGATAGCAGGATATGGGTACTAATTTTATATTTCTTGAATTTCTCTGTGTCACAATCTTAACATTATTTAAATCTAGTTATTTGTATTTGTAAATGTATTAAAATGGTTTGAGTTTACCAAAGAGTGACTTATCCAAAATTGTCTCTGACAAACAAAAACAACAACATCGCTTTGATTGTACAGGTTCAGGTTCAAAACATTGTAACGGGACTGTTAAGGAGCAGGAAATGATCACTTTTTGTACAAAATCATGATTCAGCAGTTTGCAAGTTGGGCTTGCTCCTGTTGGTGTGGATATGCCATTGACCCTCCCCACTGCTAGCAGTGTCAATAATGATCAAGCCATAACACGGTGCTGTAGAGTCCCGCAGGGCTTCGAGGGACGCGCACGTGGGCGAGCGCGGAACGTCACCGAGCGTCACAGTGACATTACAGCGCGTGTGACTCTGGTAGGAAACGAACTTCAGACCTGGCAGCAGCAATTAAATTGTGCCTTGTCGCATAACGGTGTGCCAGGATGATGTTGTCATGAAACATGAGGCATTACCTGATGGAAGTTCATTTCACAAGGCCACCAAATCAGAGGATGCTGTGTTAGTTCAAGCGAGTCGTGGAAGTACTGTACAGTGTCTTGTGTCTGTACAGTTTTACGTTAGCACAGAGCTGTTACACATTTCATTTACAATAAATGCAGAAGTCAATAAAATACGTGAAGAAATATTTGACAGCAAAATAAATCATGAAATTATATAGGCTGGTTCATAATTGAGTCTCTTCTTAATCTACCTTTTGATTATAGACAAATGTGAAAACAGTGACAGTGTCCTTTCCTCTATATGTTTAACCTATTATGACAAACTGTGAAAATAAAGGATTTTATACCTTTGCTAATGTTTGTGGTTTTAAACAGTTATTCTAGTTTTCTTAATCAGTTATCTTCCATATTATTTCTTTTAAACTTGTAAATACATTTAGAAAATGACTTTGTAAATACTTACAGTATATCAAAAGTTCAGTTTGGTCACTAAGGCCTCAAGATTGGCTCTGCTTTTTTAGTGTGAAATCTCTCGATAGCATAAAGGATACTGTCAGTTCACTGTTCAGCAGAATATACTGTAGGCCTAAATTGATAGTTCTTAACGCAGTCTTCCCCGGCATAAATCCACGGTTTATGCTGAAGCCTTTGGTTTTCTTTTAGACAAAGCAAGGAGGCCTCTTAATACGTTTAGGCTGAATTATGGGAAGAACAGCAGGAATAAAATCAAGGGCTGGGAAAAGATTGAATGAGCTTTACCTTAATATATATATATATCTATATCTATCTTATTTGAATTTTTGTATTAGTTTACTGTGATTCTTTTATTGTCATTTTTCTAAACAGGTTTCACATGAAACCATTGAAAGGGACTCAAATATGCAACACCTAATCTATTTTCCAAGGGAATTTTACCCTTGAATGGTGCTTTTTGACTGGTCAGGGTTATTTATTAAATTTTATATTTGAAAGTATTTGGGGAATTATGTAAATTCTTTATATGAATCTGTTTATTTCATGAATTGTAAATTTCATAATACTCAGTGATTGAATTGGAAGTTTAGTAAAGTCATTCAAAATGTTCAAAGTTTATAATCTGTGTGCATTTTACATATATTTTAACAAGTGCCAGAATAGTTGTATTTAATATTGTAGATTTAATACTACTTGCACATCCCTGTGACAGCATTAACTTAAGTTATGCAAGTTTACATTTAAAAAAAAAAAAAAAGCTAAACAAACAAGTAAGCCTGGGACATGTGTTCCTGTATTTCTTCAGGGGGTGTAAAGCGAAGTATCAGTAACTGAGCAGGTTTGCTCCCGGTTTACGTCAGTAACTCCTGGGGTGGTGGATACAATAAACTGCTGTCTCTCCATGTACATGTGCTACAGATCCAGCCCGGGACTTGCCCTGCGAGCCCCCGGCTGCCGGTCGGATTAGAGGTAGGGCTCTTGCACGATTTTAACAGTGTTTGTTTCTGACTGAAAAATTGTATTTTTAAATAACTTTTATTTGTATGGTTGTTTTTCATGATAAATAATTGAACAGTTTGAATGACTTGACCTGGTGTCATTATCTTGCAATATAAACCGGTAACCTCACAACTCCACACTTCATCACCATATGAAGTAAATGAAGCTAGCTAAGCTGATGCTGTAACAATTAATAACTTGCCATTAAGGATTATTTTATAGCATGAATTTTAAAATATTTATTCAAATGATATTTTACTCTTGTATTCACTTTGTTTTTAGATTTGTGACATGAATATTTCAGTGCTGCTTTATTTTGTTCTGATGAATTTGTTTCTTGCTTGTAAATTGCTTTTTTTATGGTATAAAGTCAATGGGAATTGCTGTTTGTAAATTAAAATGCTTCTAGAGCAAACCTACAGTCTCCGTGTCTACATTTAGATAGTTAATTACTAAGGGACTTGCATTTTAAATGCTTTTCCTGAAGTGTTATAAAAAGTTGCAGTTCAATACTCGTGTACTAACAAGGAATCAAAAACCTTTAGAGACAAACTCCTCCTGGTGTCTCTTTTTGCCGGCACCGCTGTTCCATGCAGGATGGTCGTTCGGGTTTTGTGCTCCAGGGCCGTGCCCAGCTCTGCAGCGGAGCAGAGGCCCCAGCCAGGGGTGGCCGTCGGGCTGACAGCGGGCCAGCGGCCAGTGCTCGGGGTCGGGTTCAGTCTCCTCGGCAGCGTTTGCCGTCCCCAGCAGTGCTGCCTGCAGCTCTGGGCCCCGGCCTCAATCCGACGGGAGTTACAGCTCGTGGCTCCACTCGGCTCCTTTCCGCCGGCGCAGCCTGCTCAGGCGCGCTCTGGGTGCCTTCGCCGCACGCGCGTTCTGGGGAGATGGTAGATCCTCAGCCGAGCTTTGCTGAGGTAGACTTACACTGCTGGGACAGCTGGAATTTTGCAGAGAGAATTTTTCCTTTATATTCATGAACATGCAGCTGATACTATTAATTTCTGGCTAAAATTTACCAACAGTGTTGCCAGTTTTCCGTGTGTACAAGATGCGTGCCAGCAAAGACTTTTGTCGTGTAATAAAGCTGAATTAAATTTGAGTGAGTTCTAAGCTCACGCAGCTGCAGAGGGTGTGTTTATATGGTGCTAACGCAGCTGGAGGATGCGGATATTTGTCTGGCTCTGGGCGTTTGCGGTCGGGGGGATGCGGGGGTCAGTCCCCTGAGACCCTGTGGGCAGATTCAGAATGACTGTTTCAGCAAAATACCTGTCAAATGCCCTCGCTTGTAAGGCCTGAAAATTCAGGTAACGAAGAAGGGGGTTTTAGGAGAGGAATGAAATGTAACAAGAGGCAGAACGTACCCTACTTCTTACACCTCCTCCACGGTTTGGTTTGGTTCGTTTGCGTTGGTGGAATTGTTTCCCCTTGTGGGGCACAAACAAGCGCAGGAGGCTGTGTCTGCAGAACCTGGTGCAGTTGACTCTTCAGGCCGAGCTGCTCCCCAGCTCCTCCAGCAAACACCTGCTGTGTCCCTTCATCGCAGGGCTCTGCCCGCAGACCCACAGGCAGAGCCACTCCTGCAGGTCCCTGCGCCGATGGGCGAGCTGGAGGGTGAGCGGACACGGGCCTCGGCAGCGGCGGTACAGGGGCGCAGGTTGTGCGCTGGGTGCTGGCTGGGCGCTGCCCAGCGCTGGGCACCTCCGGGAAGCTGCTCCTGGCGTGGGGGGGCAGCGCCGCAGCACCGGCCCCAGGCCCCGTGTCTCTCAGGTGTTTCTGTTTGAAGGCAAATGTAAGGTTTCCTCCTCGAGATGGCCAGCTGCTTTGTACTTGCTTTGGTCAAGCGACACAAAGACGTTGTATTTTGTTCACAAGGCCGTGCCAGTGCAGTCTGTTACAGAGTTCTAGATATATTTACCCATTCGAACAGATCCTGTTCCTGAGGGCACCAAACTCTTAGGGAGCGATGGGGGAAGGGAAAGTAACTAGGCACTTCTTTGGCATGGAAGTGGCACAGATCCGGTGATTCTGGAAATGTGGTCTTTGGTAAAAACGGGATGTTTGTCCACACGGCCAGAGCAACGTGCGTGTAAAGTGTGCAACAGCATCTGGATAGTGTGCCCTGCAGCACAGGCCGTACTGTGAGCTATAAAAGTAACTTGTTAATGAAATAAAACATTCCTCCCTTTAAATTGCATTTTCTTGGTACATTTAAAAATTGTATTCTAATGAAAAGCACAAAACTGTAGCACTAGCAAAATGCAAATATGCCACTACGGGTAGGTAAACCACTTTCTGACTTTGTCTGGTTCTATCCAGGGATACACCGTCAGCCTTGGGGAGTTCATGTTTGTTTGAAGTTGCAATTCATGGCAGTAATTACAGTGCCATAGTACAGTATGAGGGGTTAAACTTCAACTTATCTTTCTTAGAGTTTGTCCCTAGTAACTTGGAAAATAGTCCATTTCAGCAGAGCTACCCAATAAAAGAATTGGATTGCATAAATTAAAGTAATTTGCATAAATTAACTTATTTCCAAAGCCTGAAAAGGGTTTTCTCTGTATCAAGCAATGCTGACAGACAAGTGCACGCACACAAAAGTTTGGCTATTGAAATTAACTAATTGTTCATCATTTTAAATAACAAATGAACTTGTTGGCCCAAGATAACACTAAGCCTGAACTGCTTATCGGAACTACTTTCCTTTGGTTCATTTTCCCTAATTTGTACAGTTTAACTTGCTTCCCAAAACCGTGCCTGTAATTCCAGTAGAATAAATATAAGCAGGGAGTTACCTTTTGGTTTATGGCTATCCACCACTCTAAATCTGCTCTAGCTATGGTGTAGAGATGTTCTTGTAATATGAAGATTCAGAGGATGTTGCTTGGCACTGCTGTGTGTCTGCTTTGCTGGGAATTACCACTTGTGTCGCAGAGCCAGCAGAAGGAAAGATGTGGCCATTCTTGTGCAAAGCCTTACGTGGGGATGGGATAAACAGCAGAGCATAGTAGAATTAAAAAGCAGCTAGAAATTCTGACAGAGGTTCTCTCAAGATCCTTTAAGAGATGCAAAGTTCTGATACTCTGAATGGAATACTAATGCTTAATTCAATTAGTGACATTCTCAGTGTCAATTTGTACTTATTTGCCCAGTGCCAGTGTATCTTTGATGCACCTTGGTGGTTTGCTATTTATAATAATTTATAATCCCCGGTATCAATCCAGGCTGGGCGAGGAGGGGATGGAGAGCAGCCCCCAGGAGAAGGACTTGGGGGGTTTGGTGAGTGGAAAACTGCCTGTGAGCCAGCAGCAGGCACTCACAGCCCAGAAAGGCACCTGTGGAAGAAATTCCCCCCTGTGAGGGGGGTGAGGCCCTGGCACAGGTTGCCCAGAGGAGCTGTGGCTGCCCCCTCCCTGGCAGGGTTCAAGGCCAGGTTGGACGGGGCTTTGGGCAACCTGGGCTAGGGGATGGTGTCTCTGCCCGGGGCAGGGGTGGCACTGGATGGGCTTTAAGGTCCCTTCCAGCTCAAACCACAATGACTCTATGAATGCTGTGAGATGACTCAACTTTTCTCATCTTTGCAGGCACATCTGAATTCAGCATCAAGGGAAAAACAGACTCTGAATACTTTTTAAAAGGTGCTATAAAACACCACTGTCAGCAAAGTGGGATACAGAAGACAAAGATTTTGTAAAGAGGTTAAGAAAGCTAAGGAAAAAAATTGGTTTAGGTTAAAAAACCCCAGTTTTGTCCAACTGATCTTTGTGTACATGCAGACATGCCCCACATTGTTTAAATTTTCATAAGGCAAACTTCTTGAAAACAGCTTGAGGGAAAGCTAGAATAGCCAGTGAACACGACATAGCATAGAATTCATTTTCTTTCAGCAATAATCGCACAGGGAAGATGGAGCCTGACCCCATGGCCGCTACATTTCATTAACTACATGAAAGATCTTATTACAGTTGTCTTGTGCATGGATTTATGGCAAATTTAAATCAAATATTCAATCAAATGTCACTTGAACTACAAACAGAAACATTTCCTTAAATTTGGGGGAAATTATATGGCTAATGGCATTGTCTATAGTGACATTATTTGGCTATTTGCATTTTGCCAACCTTTTCAAATAACTCAGAACAGTACAACCCTAAATCTTGTCTATGCGGTTTTTTCCACCAGAGGGTGCTGGACGATTTTTAAGAATATAAGTTACACAGGGATAATTTAAGGTGCTGTACATAGCAGAAACCTGAAACAGAAACTAAAAAAGACGTTTCAAATCTGCATTTATTATGATACCCTCAACAGGAGCAGCTGTAATTCCATTCTCAGCAGGGCAGAGTTTTTATCCAGGATCTCAGATCCCCTTGGAAGGCACAAGACCTGTTTAGGCAGTGGACTTCATGACTTTGCAGCACTTTATGCATCAGTTTGGAAACTCTGATTTAGAACCTCATCATTATTAGGGTAAGAAGTGACTTAGTGTTCAGTTTTTTCTGAATCCTTGTAGAAATACCGGTAACTATAGTTTTTTTTAGAGAAGACTGTAGCCCAGGGACTGCTGTTTTAGCGCAGTGATACAGGACAGAGCGGGAAACATTTTGCCAGAGAACCCTGTGCTCTTGCTGTGGTGGGAGATGATGGTAGAAGCTTTAGAGCAAAGTGTGTGTAGCTCAGCAGTACCAAAAGATAAACATTAAGGAGTAAAGAATAGTCCATGCCTGTGAAAAGGTTGAAGATGCATAAGACATTTATTTTAATCCTACAGCCGCTGGAGGGTGAGAATACGTAGGGAAAATCCCCTCCCACATAGTGGCTTTGGCTTTGTTGTGGATGTTGGAGCTGTGTCCATCAGTATTCATCAGCAGATCCCAAATCCGTGTTTATTTTTACGGTTTATTCTCAATGGCGTGTTGCTGTTTCAGAAAGCAAGCTCGTGCATGTTTAACTGGGAGGTGCGAAGGTGCTAGAGCTGCTCTGGCTCTGGCAGCGGCAGAAGAGCTGGAAAGGCGCTCCGAGCCCTCCGGGCCCTCTCCCCGGGCTGTTCTCTCCTGGGCAGCGCTGGCCCGCTCGGGGGCCGACACAGCCCCCCGCCGAACGCCGCCTTCGGGCGGCTTCGTGCAGCGGAGAGGCC